AATAATGCGCGCATGTGGAGCAGGCACTCACCGGCTGGAAGATGGTCGCACAGTCAACGCACGGAGGTTAGGCACAAGTAGAGGACGAACGTAGTAGGTGCCACTAACCTTCACTGCCGAAATTATGCACAGCACGCAGCTCCGCAGGACGGGCCGAGAACCAAGACCAACGAATCGATACGGTTCCGACGCATTACATGATTAAGCGGAGAGGTGATTTGTATCCATCCAGCATGCGTGGCGGTACGTGCACACAACTCCAGACACGCACACGTAGGTACATATTTAGCTGCTTCCTTATTGGTTTATATTTCTACTTTCCGCACCTAAGTACTCACTTAGATACAAAGCAGACTACAGTAGTTTATTACCGGCGCGGACCTTCTTCCTTTGACTCGTGCATGTGACCTTTCCTACCTAACCCCTACCTGTCTGTATCTCTACCCGGCTTTGGCTCTCGACAAATCAAAGTCACTGCTGTAGACACCTCAAATTCGCCTTACCACAATGGACCAGGAGAGAATTGTGGCAATCACGGAGTCTAATGGTGGATGTTTGTGAGTAGTGTGAAGTTCGAAGAAAGTAGAAGCCACGATTAAAATTCACGCACAATAATATGCCTCGACGGGGAGTCGAACCCCGGTCCACGAATTTCCGGTCCGCTGCTCTACCACCATTAATCTACCATCGCCCATTGGACGTCTGAAGGACAGGAACTTCGGTCTATTGAGAAGTGACGGGTGAGTGAGCCAATCTGCAACATCAGGACAGGTACTGTGAGCTTATTGGCAACACGTCGCGCACCAAGCAGAAGACATGTGTTAAAATTTGCGCACCTAATCGTCAGCCCTCGGTAGCTCAGGTGGTAGAGCAACGGACCGGAAATTCGTGGACCGGGGTTCGACTCCCCGTCGAGGCATATTATTGTGCGTGAATTTTAATCGTGGCTTCTACTTTCTTCGAATCATGGAGTCGCCATGATTCGCACTTGCCAGGCATACAACTCTTTAACCTCGTGGAAGCCAGTATCAGTTAGAATAGTTGATTGTTTCGAGGAATATGACCATACTCTCTGTCTACGCACCAGTCCTACTCTCAGGGGAAAGAGACAAAGAGGAATTTTACGATACTCTACAGACGGTGGTGAACCACATTCCAAAACGCGACATCCTCATTAGTGACAGGACTGAAATGCACGAACCGACCCGTGAAACGATCAGACCTGTCACATTCGGGAGATATGCCCTTGGATAGCGCTGTGATAATTGAGACCGCGTGCTCAGTTTCGTTGACCTTAATCGGTTGTGCAAAATCAATACTCGCTAGCAACATCCCAGGAAGCATCTTCTGACGTGGTACTTCAATGTGCGCCGTATAGCAAGCCAGATAGATTACGTCTTAATCTGATCCAAGTGGAGGTCTTCCATCGATGACTATCGAGCGTACAGAGGGACTAAACCGGTAATAAAAGTGGTTCGGACCATGTACTCCTGTGCGCCAAATGTAGACTCCGCTTGATAACGTGCCGGAAGACCCTTCCACCAAAGCGTGTAAACACTGCCCCAGTGGAGATATTGATGGGTACCGATCCTTTGATGTAGCAGTAGAACCAGAAATTGTTGCCAATGCACCACGCGTCGTTGGTCTAGGTTAAGACTGTCAGTCCAAAGAGCCGCTTTGTCTGCCCTGGGCTCTACTTCTAAGCCTGTGAAGGGATGTATCACTGGAGATACTATCAGCTTGTCTGCTAAAGCGAAAGAAGCACGTCTCACGAATTCATTAGACTACAGTTGTTCGAAACTGAGGAAACCCGCTCAGCACAGAATAATCGCAAAAGGAACTGGTCTATCATCGCAGACAACATGGAAGGTGCATCAAATTCTAGCAAACCGGGTCACCATTTTCGTTTCATCCGTTTAGCTTCAAGGAAAACGCTATTCACCACAGCCGATATTGTACAATTCGGATGGTCAAATCATTCCTGATACGGAAGGAACACTTTCCAGATGGGTGGAGTATTTTAGCAGCCACAAAACCGCCCACTACACACAACCGCAAACACTACAGCATTAACCGACTCAGGGTTCGGCGCGGATTGCTCACAGCCATTCCCCACAAAAGTTGCAAATATCGTTCGTTGCCTGAAGCCGAAGAACACTCCTGGAGCGGACGGGATCCCAACCGAAATCTACAAGTTTTGTCTACCAACCCTGCTTGACCACTTACACGAGCTCTACTGCTCCATATGAGTGACCGAAGTCTGTCGTTCCTCGTGGAGTACCTGTATTACTGCCATTTCCAAAGTAAGGGGACCGAACTGCGTGCGGTAATTATTGTGGGAGTAGCCTACTCGATGTGGCTGCCAAAACGATCGCACGAAGCTTGATTTCCAAATTGCCAATGGGAGGAACCTTCGAAGTCGCCACAATCAAGGTGGCTTGCATCCATGCAGAGGCTATACTGAGCAAATTTTCACTCAACGTCGGGTAGGCAAACTCTGCTAACAGTTCCAGCAGTCCACGTTGGTTTTCAAGCTGTCTTTGGTTCAGATTACCGTGAAGCACTTTGGGGAATCCTATTTGCCGACGGCGTGCCGGTTCAACTCGTTAACTTGATGAGATCATATTACCGTTGCAGGAAGGCCCGGATTCGGGTCTATGGAGAAGAAACGGAGGAATTCGACATCTATACTGGAGTCCGGCAGGGTTGACTATTTTCTCCAGTGCTATTCAACTTCGCGGTCAACTGGATTATTCATCGTGACCTTGAGAGCCATCGTTGTGTTCAAGTGAGCCCTGACTTCTGGCTGTCAGACCAGGAGTTTGCTGACGATATCGCTATCCTTGTAGATCCTACATCACTACAGTCACCGCTAAATCGGGTCGACGAATCAGTCTCTATGATCGACCTCGGAATTAACATCAGCAAGATGAAGTACTTCTCATCGTCAGCCATCCAGTCCGCCCCGTCGCTCTTCTTACATGTATAACTTATCGAGTCCATTCCTGAATGCAAGTTCTTTGGATTCACTGTACTCCCCAATGGACCGGGTTACATCCGAAATCCGGGATGGTATTGACAGCTCTAGAACAACCTACTTACAACTGGGAAACACGTTGTGGTGAAGGACAGAACTTAGTATGCGAACAAAAATCCCACTATTCTCAGCAACAATTCGTGCCATTTTAGTATATGGTTGCGAAACATGGCCGCTGCGATCCGAAGACGCCTGAAATCTGGAGGTCTTCGACAATTAGTGTCTAAGGCTTAACTTGGAAACACAGTGGCATGAACGTATCGCCAATGACGAATTTCGTAAGCATTGTTATGGTCTTCTGAAGCTCTCACAGCACATATGACGCCGCAGACTTCAGTGGTTCAGTCACGTCCTCCGCAGACCAGACACTGACTAGTCTAAGGCCGTGGTTTCGCCCTCACCTTGCCAGAATAGGTGTCATTGCCGTGGTAGACAATATAGAAGGTGGCTCGCTGCAGTTAGATCGGATGTCGATCTTCTGGGACTCCATGTTGTGCATGGTGCTCGTCACTAAGGAATTATTGAATCATTATCTGCGTGGAGCTTGTCGCCGACCGCCGCGCTTGGGCAGCTGCAATCCGCAACATTCATGAAGCCGGCTAAACCTGTCGCAGGAGCTATCCGCAGTAAAGTAAGTAAGTAGATTTGATTCACTCCATTATATACATGCTACGTAGCCATGATGTTGAATATTGCAGCCTCTTTTCTACGACTTCTGACGGATGTGCTCATGTGATCCAGTAAAATTCCAGGCTTCGTGGGCTCGCATCGTTGCAAGTCATTTTTAATGTTGATATTGCGCTATACCCCATTTTTAGACATCGTTTGTTAATTAAAAAGTATCTTTCGCCATTAGCTATGTTGCTTTGCCTATTACATCTGGGTTATACGCTGACATGTTGACATTTGCCACAGAATGCACATTGCGCTCTCATTGTACCCAGTGTTAGTTTGCTCCTATTAGTTTGTTCGTTTTCACTTTGGAGTATTTTCACACAGGGTAAAGCTTTCAGCACCATTCTGTATTTTTAAATATCCAAACCCAAACATTAGTGTTTTCAGTTTTGCTGAGTGGCAGTCGTCAGAACCCATCGGCTGCCTGCTTTTCACGTCCGGGACGGAAGTTAATTTGAAAATCGTATGTTAACAAGCATGCATACCAGCGACGTATCCGAAGTGGCCTGATGCTATTTGTTCCCCGAGTAAGTACACTAGTTAGCGCAGTAGTCTTGTTGAACAGCGTTCAGTTCACATTTTCAGCCAATTAAAATTGCCCCATATTGAAATAGAATTGTCACATCAATAACTTAGCCAAATTTTACGCCGTGTGAACATTCAAGCCAATAGCTAGTCGCAGACTCCCATTATGAGAAGAGAGAGAGATACAAGCTCAGAATGTTCGTTTCTATTGTGTCAGGTACTTGAAACAAAATTACTGTAAAGACCAACTGCAGTAGTTTTACTTGAGTAGATGAATAACTAGAATTTATCGGTGGTTCCTATTGCCTCGTCCATTGTATTCGCGTAGAGGTTAGTAAAAAGAGTTATCCAAGCGATTACTGTGTAGCTGAACTTGGTGCGTTCGCAATGGACTGCTCAAAGAAACAAGTTATAAGAACATTTCAGATACGGAAACGTGTAATATCTCAAATCCGCTTCATGAGTGGTCCAAATGATCTAGGTGTAAATCAAGGGGACATGATTAATGGGGGTGCACTTGAGTGTAAATAAATCACAAATAATGCAACAACCGAGAGAGAAGAGAGTGGGACAAAAATGCAAAAGAGACAAAGCAAAAGAGTGAGCAAGAGATCGTTGACAGCATCAATTCACCGAACGTCTATTGCAAAATGATTCGATGTGGCAACACGGAAGACATCAGTAAGAGAACGGTGGTGGCAAGTAATATGGGTGTTATGATGCAGAACCTGCGACGCTTCGATTAGATTTTCACAGCAGGTGGTTACGGTGGAAGTTTCAGAAATTCCTCCAGCTTGTCGATACAGGCTTCCTGGTATTCATGAATCCAACTAATAGGTAAACAAAATGGAACATTGTTAGTACTCCTATGACCGTTCAGTGACATCACATAAGCCGATACGCAAACGTGAGGCTGAATACGCGGTCTCACTCTTACTCAGGCAATGGAATTGAGAGAGGATCATGACGCGCTTTACTCTCGCAAGGTAAATCAGATGCGACAAATAATATCAAAGTAGCATGTTCACCATTCTTGTCGTGAATCCTCGTGAAATGTGGCTTCGAGCATATCACTGATCAATGCTACATGTACTAGGTGCCTGGGAGGCCACGCTTTAAAGGACACAATAAATGCGGACGAAATTCCCTAATGGTCCAGTAGACAAATCATCAATGAATGACCGCGGCCTAGATACATTAGCTATTGTCTGATTATGCAGGGGTTCCTTTTCTTGGTGCAAATAAGGGGAATGTCGCAGCATAACTTGATAAAAGTTTCAGTAACGATGGAAGTAGAGTGCAAGACACTCTTTAGCGTAAAACACACATTGTGGTGGTCAATTGGGTAGCTTGTGATGGAGATTCATGATACACCCACCCACACACACAGGCAGATAGTCACCGCACATTCTGGAAACCATTGGACCACCGTTTCAGTCATTTTTGATACATCAGTAATGCACATTCCATCGGTGCTGTTACAGCCCGTGGTCCTACCTTCAAGAGTGAGTGGTTAAGATCACTGTGGAGCGTGGAGGATAAGTGGCAGTAGTGAATTCGTAACCAGATGTTAGATAGCGCAATATGCATCCTTTACTATTATGCGCATTTACGGCATGCAAGGGGTAGGTTTAGCACCCCTGAGCCGAAACTTTCTTTGCTGAACCCGCATCATGCGGCAACATCGAAATCTGATCTTGGAAGCCACAAATTATTAGAGTGCAGTAAGTGATGCGGGTTATATTTTGCGACAAGATTCCTCAAAGCCACAAATATTCACCGCGCGTAGGAAGCGCGCAGTGAAGGACGAGTCCTAGAGAGGAAAATGTGGTAAGAACGCAAACGAAGATCAGAGACAGACGATAACTACGTTTGCTTACATTAAGTGCAGAATCTTGCCGGGTAAATGTGCTCAAAATGTTGGCCAATTATGCAGGTGCACAACGATTCCCACGTGCAGGTCGGTAATGTTGAAGCTAGTCACGAGTTATCAGGTAGTCTTACAGTGACAAACGGAGTGCTTGGGTGTGACCAGATTATGTCTCAATTGCTAACTAATGTTATCCCATTTGGAAAGACAAGTCGTCACAAGGACCGGAATTCATTTTATTAGTTCTATCCGAAAGATGTTAGGTTAACACAGGCTATCATTGACAGAATATGCAGCCATAATTCCACATCCGAACAAGCAAAAGGCCCTAGTTAGGGTTGTTGACAAATATAGTTTTTTTGGAGTTCATGACCCATTATCAGCTTGGCGATCATCATGTACTTGAACGGTTGCTCTAAAATAGTTACGTTAGGTGACCGACGCTCGTTCTCGCGTCTAATCACCAGTAGGGTCATACAAAGGTGTGAACTCGGTCCAGTACCATTCCTGTTTTCCTTAATGACGTCAGTATGAATAGTAGACATGATATGTCGTTATAGTTACCGATTATTGGAAAAAGGTTTGGGTTAAGAACGTACTACTACGCGTACGGGATGATCTGCACTCCCTTGATACATAATGCAACATGTTGATGATGAAGTTCTAAGCACAAAAAAGCAAGTGTCATGTGCCGCGATTGTTTGATAACCGAAGCATCTGACAGGTGAGCGAGAAAGCTGATTGTCAACGCGCGCGTGTTCGCCACAATGCGTGCTTCGAACAGACCCCGCGAGCGCGTTGCCACGGCACAGCCGAAAGCTGATGAAATCGCGTATCAGACATCATGCGTGTTGCCAAGGTCTGATCAGAAGCTGACGAAAGCGCGCGTCAGACAGCATGTACGTTGCCATGCCCCGGGTAGGCGGATGAAGACTGGCGTACCCGAGCAAGATTGTGAATTGACCAGACGGAGCGGACAGTCAAGTGTGGAACGTGGGTGTACGAAGAAGACAGGTAGCCAAATCCGCCAGGCGGTGTTTGAGTATTGGTGAAACCGACCTATAAATATGAGCGTCCTCGGTTCTAATACGATTCTGGTCGACTGAGTCTTCTGTTTTCCTTCTTGCCGGGGTGGCCAAGGTGTCAAGCAGAGCAGGCTTAACGGCGCAGATTTACCAGCAGGCGTAAAGCAACCAGTCGATTGCGGGTACAGCGTTATAACAGCATCTATCGCATTTGACAACGAATGCCTCTGTGTACAACGGTCTAGACCTGGTCTCAGAACCAGATATTCCTGTATGTTTAACTTTTCTGAGCAGGCTGAGTACCGGATAGGAGGAGCCAGACAATCCACAGCAAATATGTCTCATAAGGTGCTGGCAAATTAAACCAGAGCCGAACTTTTAAAATGCCCACTGGTCCCATCCCAAAGTACCATAGCACACATTGTTGTACCGTGAGGAGATATGGCAGAACACGTACAGAACACGTACACACAAATGTTTAACAAACGCCCACTCCACAAAATTTCAAGCTTGTACTAACGGGAGCAGTGCTAGCAATACAACCTCGATCCACTATAGCTGCGAAGATTAAGGCATAACTTGATACTGCTGTGCAATCTGATCCATGGTAATGACTGCTGCAATCTGCTAGGGTTAAAACAGTGGCATAGTTTCACTCCGGACACAGGTAACTAAGACTTTACGCTGCTTATACCAAGATGCAGACAAACCTGCCGACAAATCGCTATGCAATCAGATACGTTGCTCTACGGAGTAGACTGACAATCATAAACAGGTCGTTTGAGAATCCGCAATTATATAGTTGTGTGTTGGGAAGCTACCAAGACCGAGACAAGATAACGATTTGTGCTAGTGCGAGAGATCAGTTGGCAACCTACTTAATAAGAACCCAGAAAACGTCGAATGAATTCAACAGAAGAATTCATGCAATGCAAACATCCTCGGTGTCTATAAGATACTCAAAGTTCATTGATGAGATCCAGCTTAACACTAAACACCAATGTGTGGGACATACAAATAGTCAAGAACACAGACAAGGAAACGCACGACTGTAAATTGGCTATATAGTTGGCGACATCCGCTTTCGGATTTGCCTGTCACTGTGGCCAGCCACAGAACGCCTGTGCCTACAGAGGGACCCTGGGTGGCTTGCGCTGCACCACCCACAGCTCCAACCACACACCCAATATCCAGCGTAAAACCGAAGGAAGAAGACCGGGAGGGGTGTGAATGGGAGCCACGTTACATCAACGGAGCCGGCCCACACTCCTTAACAGGCAAACACAGGCATGTTGTATTTGGGAATCAAGCGAACATAAGGCGATGGCTGAACCGTGGTCCGCTGCACACCGAGTGCGTGGAACCACTCTTTGAGCCTAGCACGGCCACAAGAACCGTGCACCCCGTCCCCTCCAGCAACGACCAACTGTCTCCTGGAGCCAGTATGAACGATGTAGTGGGTAATAGACAGGTAGGCACCTTGTCAACATACACATCAAGCGCAACCATACCAGGGATATCAAACAACAGCCATTCAATTTAAACGACAAGCTGAAATAAAATAAATCCAATAATGCATTCAGATACGGTGGCATAACTCTTCGCTAAATTACCATATGAAGTAAGTTGGTCAGCAACAAATCCGTGATAAGTAAGAAATGTCCACAAGTTACTTAAAATGCCACAAACGCAACAAAATTACCGAAGATATGCGCAATTAGTGTAAGCAACATGGCCAGTTAATAGAACATTATTCAGGGAGGCAGAACAAACCAAATAAAGCGGAATGAAATTTATCCAGCTTAAAAAGACCTAGTTTAAGTGTAAGTTGGTTTAGCTCAACTGTGGTGAAGAAGCATCATGAATGCAACATCAGGCTCAGCATGAAGTATATATATATATATATATATATATATATATATATATATATATATATATATATATATATATATATATATATATATATATATATATATATATATATATATATATATATATATATATATATATATACGCTGGCAAGTGATCTATGCACAAATTTCAGCCAAACATCTGGGGCTGAGCTCAAGCCCATGGGCCAAATTTTATAAGAAAAGGGCCCAACTGTTGTAAGAATTGCAGTCAGTGGTTGTGATTGTTGAACTAAAGGCATGTGAAAGGTCTTCCAAAAGTCCAAATGGGAAAAAAATCGGGCACCCACTAGTTCAACTAATAGTTCATCGGACGTTGGATGTACAAGCTTCTCGCCCACTATTTGCCGACTGATGGCCTGTAGATCCTCGCATATTCTCAACATGTTATACTTTTTGATGACTGTAACCATAGGATGTACCCATTCAAAACGGATCATTTCAATGAGATCATTCGAAAGCATCTGTTGTAAGGCAGACGAAACGGCCGCTTTTTGGCCAGAGGAATGGGAAGTGGTTGAGCAATAGCTACCGGCTTAGCATCCTGCTTCAGAAGTGTACGGTGAAGGAAGAGTGGAACTCGCCCTAATATTTTTTAATATATGTATATATAGATATATAAAGAGAACTGACTCCGGGAACTCCAGGAAAAGTGTACAATCCCAGTGAGTAACTGACCAGCTATTATATTTATGTTGATGCCTCATGCAAAGCAATATTCCCTGTCGATCGTCCGCCTTATCGAACTTAGATGAGCTTGTAAAAATGCAGTTACTATAAGGGTTGGAGGCGGAAACGCAGGAGCGTCTGTTAAAAGTGGAAGTGGAAATAATCGACAGAAAAAGTTCAGGTCAACTGTGATGTTGCGTTAGTGCCTTTGCATATTTTAGCGGAAAGGAATCAGCGCACAGCTGCCGAAAGGGTGCGCACAAGACGTACGATGAAAGATCGCTATCAAATGACGTATCGCCAAGGCAGAGTGCACTACAACATCTGCCAAGGATTGAGACCGATCACTTGAATGA